CGGGGTATTTCAGAGTTGTACAATGAAATAAAAGTGATAATAAGTATAGTATGGTATCTGGTACATTGTAAGTATATGTTTATTATTAATAATAATCTAAATTACTGATAAGAAAGACAAATTGATCTGGATCAAAGGTGACTTCTTTCAGAGATAACAGCAGTCAAAATTTTTTGAGACTATCAACTCAATCAGATCTTAACTTAATTAGAAAATACTTAAAGTCCAATACGAAAATCCTCATGCTAAAGCCAGGTGTGGTGGTGCATACCTATAATACCAGCACTCAGAAAACTGAGACAGAGGACTGCCCCAAATTCAAGGCCAGCCTGGGCTACACTGTGCGGTCAAGGCCAGCCTGAACTGACAGTGAGACTCTCTCAAAAAAAAAAAAAATTTATAGAAAGGGCCGAGGATTTAGCTCAGTGGTTCTACCACCTGCTTCACAAGCGCAAGGTACCAAGTTTGATCCCTGGTCCCCCACCCACCCGCTGCAAAATTATAAAAAAACCTTCAAGAGCCAGGTATGGTGGTGCAGGCCTATAATCCCAGTACTTGGTAGGCTGAGGCAGAAGGATCACTGTGAGTTCGAGACCAGCCTGGGCTACACAGTGAGTTCCAGGTCAGTCTGAACTACACAGTGAGACCCTGTCTCAAAAAAACAAAAAAACAAACAAGATATTTAAAAAGTTCATAATTACCAATTCTGTATAATGCTGAGTGTAATTTCTAAACATAATCTTTATCACTTCCCAAGTACTGATGTGAAGAAAAAGAAATCAGTATAGACTAGATTGGCTAAAAATATATATAGTGCTGGGGATTTAGTTCAGTGGCACCTCACCTGCCTTGCAAGTACAAGGTCCTGAGTTTGATCCCCTTGTAGCCCCCCCCCATACATCTCTGTCTCTAAGAAAATAATTTTTTTTTTTTGGCTTTTTGAGACAGGGTCTCACTATGTAGTTGAGACTGACCTGGAACTCACTATGTAGCCCAGGCTGGTCTCAAATTCACAGCAATCCTCCTGCCTCAGCCTCCCGAGTGCTGGGATTACAGGTATGCGCCACCATACCCGGCCCATACAGTTTTAATAAACGGACATTTCCAATTAATGACATCCACAAAGTAGTCCTGACTCCTAAAATTTACCCTTTCTAACAGCACCTTAGAGATGTCAGGACAGCACTGTATTCTTCTAGGAACACAGGTGCAGAAGCATTCAGATCTGTGTTCAAGTCTGCTTGGCAGCATGCTAACTGTGTGACGTTAGACAAGTTATTTAAATGTCTCTGTTTTCTCCATTACAAAACAGAGATAATTTAGTTCATAGGCTTTTTGAGAGGATAAATTAGGATAGACTGTATGATACAAAAATAAATTTAGTGTTTTAACCACTTTTAAGTATAGCATTCTGTGGCATTAGATAGTCGTATTACTATGCAACCACCCAGAAGATGTTTCTAAAGTACTAAGGACCAGGCCGGGGATTTAGCTTAGGGGCCAGGGATTTAGCTCAGTGGTACCACACCTGCCTCACAAGTGCAAGGTCCTAAGATCAATCTCTGGCACCACAACCCCCCCAAAAAGTACTGAGGACTAAGCACACAGTGAACAGCTCAGTGAATGGCTATGTAAGTAGCTCTTATCAGAGATCTTACTACATCTTGAATCTGTGTAAACTATTCCTAAAGAGAAATTATTTCATATTTTTACTGTGTCTTACTTACTTTTCTCATTGCTGAGACAAAACACCCCACACCTAAAGTCAAAGGGGGAAAAGTTTATTTAGCTGACAGTTTGTAGAGGTTTCAGTCCATAAAGGGCTGGCTCCAAAGCAGCATGGCAGAGGAGAAACAGCTCATGGTGGGCAGAAAGTAGCAGAGCAACAAGGGATGAGCACAGCTCTTTCTGTCCCTTTTATCTTATCCAGAATACTTAGGGCGGGCAGCACTCACACCCTTAATCCTCATGCCCTTGACCCTAGCACTGCACCACGAATCAGTCCCAGAGTCACACACTCCGGATCCAGCCACCTCTGAAAAACCCCCTGCTATGACCACATGAGGCTTTGGGGGGACATCTAGATACAAGACAAACATACTGAGTTGCTGTCAGTCTGAGAAATGATGATTTTGATTTTGAAGCTGTCTGTAAACTGTATTTCTAGCTTCTGAATTCTATTCAGGTGACAATGACATACAAATTTCATTGAGTTTACTATGTTCTTAGGGCTGTTCTAAGAACCCCAGCACTAATTTCAGTAATCCCCACATTAATTCTATCCCAATTGTAAGAATATTTTACAGCTGAGCACAAACAGATTAAAAAACTTGCTCAAGGTCACGCAGCTGAAAAGCAGCAAATCAGGATTTGCACTCAAAACAACTCAGTTCTACAGCCTGAACCTCTCCGCCACACAGCCTCTCGTGCATGCAGCGACCACATTTGAGAATGATTACTTCAGATACCAGATGTTAGGTGTTGACTAAGCCTTTGAGTTTGTCAAAAGCTATGATGGCCATTATTTCATGCATTTTTAATGAAACAAAAAACTGTCTTGTGATACCAAATCTGACAGTGAATAGCAATCCCTCACATTCAGACAGAAACATGTCAGAAAAGTAATTTGTTCAAGGTCAATAGAAATGTGGAAGAGACCAAGCATGGTGGCACATGCCTGTGATTATAGCATTCAGGACGCTGAGGCAGGAGAATTACCATGAGTTCAGGACCAGCCTAGGCTACACAGTACATATACTATGCAGCCTGTACTGCATAGTGAGATCCTATCTCAAACAAACAAACCAAAAAAAAAGGGAAACCCAACTCTCAGGTTGGCTACTTACTAGCTGTGTGATTGTATAATTTCCCTGTGCCTCACTCAGTTATATAGCAGGAATGATAATAGCATGTCTTGTAAGAAGCCAAGCAGCATATGTCTGTAAAAGCATTTATCGTAGAACCTTGTATAAAAAGTGCTCAGTAAGTGTTAGCCCCCTTTCCTCATCTTGTATGTGACTCCTGGAAAAGCATTCTTTCCAGACACCCATGCCACCATTTCTCAGTACTCTCTTAGCAACTATCTCAACACATAAGTGGCAAAGGCCCTGACTTTTTGGTGATTACCATGTGATACCAAGTCAGAAGCTTCAATGAAGTCCAGCTAATCTTATATAATGTTGAGTACAACAAACTTCTTCCGTTTTGTCCATATGGCCTATCACTCTATCAAAGCTGAAAATAAAATTGGTCTACCAAGATTTGTTCTTTATAAAATTATGCATCATGTTCCCCAATACCTTCTGTTCCTTTAGGTAACTGCCAAATAACTTACCAGTTCCAGTTTCTCATCAGAAATTACTCAAAGATTAAGTTGACCATATCCTTTCCAAAGTTATCTTTTTCTCCTGAAAAAGTATTCTTTTGTATGTCATCAGACACTTTTACTCACCATAATTTCTCAATATTAAAGGCTAATAACTTGGCACTGGATTCTTTTCCCTCACACTTGCACAGACAGAACATCCAACACTGAACTAGAAAGCACCATTTGTACCAAATGTGGCCAGAGCAATCAGGACTTCCTGTCAATTGAACAGCATTTTCTTAAGAAAAGATAAATATGCTTAGAAGTAGCATGGTCTCCTATAAAGCAAAGTGCTGCATAATTAATCTATCCCTCCCCCTCAACAGCAAAGATGTCAAGAAGCCCATGCTTTAGCTTCTGAGTGTCATTTAAAATACTCCCACATCTTGGGACAATCTTAAAGTAGATGTTAAAAAGACCAAAGAAATATTTCAATCAAGAGTTGCCTTTCTAAATCTACGACTTCTCCTACGCGATAAAAGGCGCATTGGGAGGTTCAATCAGAAGCACCACAGAGAAAAATGGTACCACAAGAACAATTCCTTTGTGTTTGGCACAGTGAAATTTCACTGCCAATTTTTAACGTACAAATTCATTAACTTCTCAAAGCCAAAAATGAGGTTTAGTCATGAGGAGTTTTTCAAATAGCTTTTGCTGAGGTCTACAGTTAATAAAAAAAAATATTTAAAAGACTGCATGAGTTGGTAGCATACAAGCAATATGCAGGAGCTCAAATATAATCTATTGTTTGATTTGCTAAAAAAATTACTGAGCTGAGCCAACTACTTAGCTTTATTCATTAAGTCATTCTTGAGGCCACTTTATAAAAAGGGGATGAGGAATTATATTTTTCGTGCCTGAGCTTAGTTATCAATAAACAAATTATTTGTCCTGCTATGGTAATCCTATGAATTTGACAGAAGATAAACACAAGAGCTGTTAAAGTACTGTTCGAAATTTAAGGTACATAACAATACAATATCTAACTGTATTTTTAAAACTTGTAAAGCATCCATAATAAGGTCATTTTAATTGCACCAGCCCCACTTACCAAATACACATTACTGACAAAAAACTTAGTAACAATATTTTCCTAGACCTTTATGGAATTTACCAACAAAGATAAATGTACTTTCTACTAGTTTTGTTTCAATGTTATAAATATTTATAATAAATAAGTCCAATATAATAAATTCACTTAATTCAGAATATTATTGCATAAAATCACTAAATCTCTCCCATTGTACCTCAAAAATATCTTATTACTGCAAAAAGACTCCAGTTTTGCGGGAGAGTTTGTTTGTTCTTACAGTATTGGGGAATAAATCAGTGCCTTCCACATGCTAAGTAAGTGCTCCTCCACTAAGCCTTTATCCCCAGCCCTTTTCAAAATTTTTTATTTTTAGACAGGGCCAAGTAAGTTGCCCAGGCTGGTCTCCAACTTGTAATTCTCTTGTCTCAGCCTCCAGAGTAGCTGGGACTACAAGCGTGCTCCACTATGTCCAGAAACAAGTAAGTTTCATGAAATAAGATTAACTTCTCGTTAACATTCACACTGTGAAGTAAAAAATATTAATAGTTTCAAATGAAACGTAATACTCATAGCCCTTCCCCATGAGATACCTCAACTTACCTCATCTCCCTTCAAAACTTCAGTGCCATCAAATTCACGAATTTGGTTTCTCTTTACTGACACTTCTCTCTCTAGATTGGCTAACTTCTCCTTGGCCTCCTGAAGCTCCTCTGCCTTGGCTTCTTTTTTATGAGAAATGATGGATGCCTAATTGAGCATTTAATACGAATATAAAATAAGACATGTAATTGACTTTTTATTATCTCGTGAAATTGGCTGTTTTTAAAATTTTGCCAAGCTGACTTTTCAATATCAGCTTTGCTTTTCCTAACCAATACCCCTTGCCCTGCCCACAATCATCAATTATTCATCAAGCACAAACATATAATATATATTAAAATATCAGCCTAAAAACATTTGGAAGCAAAAGTCTTGAAAATATAGGACATTTCAACAGGGAAACAAAAATATTAAAGTCTTCTCAAGTAATACTCCAATGCTATGAAAATACATTCTAGCTAAGTAAAGAGAAACTAACACCAAATCTATTGCTTTGCTCATAGTGGGCTTCCTTTCATTGGAAGAACACAAGAATGCTTTATTTTTAGAACTATAACACAGGTCATCCTACCAAATTCAATATCCATACTTTTAAAATGAAAGGTTAAAATATCTATTGTATTTGGGGCATTCTAATAAATAAAATGCAGGCTCAAAAATCAAACAACTGACTCACCAGAACCATACAGAATTTTTTGTACTGGGAATTGAACTCAGGACCCTGTGCTTGCCAGGCAGGCATGGTGCCACTGAGCTATAATATATTGGTGGCTCCAACTATGCAGATCTTTACACAATCCAAATGCCTGCTTTTAGCCGTGAAAGGCAGAATTTTATATTAGCTAGCAACTCTTGGGGGATTTTCTTGAATGAATCATGACCCTACTAGTCAAGAAAAATATTAGCCAAATGGTCTTATTAAGAGAAACAATACAAATATGTACTGCAACAAATCTGACAGGAGAAGGATCATCCCTAATGTGAGTCTTTAAAAATTCCATTGTCCTCCCTGTTTTTTTAAAAAAGAAAAGATAGGCAAACATTCCATTTTAAAAATAAAGAAGGCAGCCAGGCATGGTGGCACACACCTATAATTCAAGCACTCAGGACGCTGAGGCAGGAGGACTGTCATGAGTTTGCGGCCAGCCTGAACTACACAGTGAGTTCAAGGCCAGCCTGAATTAAAGAGTGAGACCTTGTCTCAAAAAAAAAAAAAAAAAAAAAAAAAGGTAATGATATCAGAACTACTTGCCGAGTGTGTGCAGGCCTTTGGGTTTGATAAGCAGCACTGGAAAAAATGTATATACATAGAAAGCTGAGTTCAATACAAGAACTTACTTACTAGAAAAACATGAATTCTTTCCTTCTAAGGACAGGAATAAGATAACATGCCCAAAACATCCAATATAATTTAATATTATGTTAAAACTATTAACTAATGCTATTAGACGAAAGCAATCAGAAGTGTAACATATGAAAGCTTGGATTTGTATATTATATACCTAATAAAAAATCGATGGAAAAATTATAGTGAATAAATCAATAGCTTTTATAGAAAAATAAAATCTGTCAGAAGACAAAAGCCCTTGCAAACTAACTTTAAATCTGAAAAAAAAATACTGTTTTTAACTCAACCAAAGAGTCTAAGTATTTTACCTGTCATGTAAAGGTACAAGATCCCAATAATGAATGTAACTGTACTGTATACCTAAAATGTACCAATAAAGTCAATGAAAAAAATAAAAAATAAAAAAATAAATGGTAACTGAGAGGAGTCAAGAGTCTAAGTATTTCGATTTATACTACCTAAAGTAAATGTTCATTTCAAAAATGAATGAAAAAAGAATTCCACATTTAGATATAAATACAAACAGCTCTTCACCATAGTTGGCAGACACTAAGGAAATTAGAGATTATTTTGTGTATTGCATTTCAAACTTGAACTGATATCTTTTGTGGTCTTTCCGCTAATTCTTTGCAATAATCTGGAGATTAGCAATGACGGACATTTGTTCTTTACTTCCTTCTCACGTTAAGACTACAGATAACACACGTGGTGGTATTGACGATGCCATTACCAAGCAGAATACAGATTTACTTCTACGGGCCAAAGAGTGATCATACCTGTTGCCTGTATAGTGAGAGTTTGCCTTCAACTGGCTCATTTCTCATCATTTTCTTTTCAATCAGTTGATTAATCTGTGTGTTTACTTCATTTATCTAAGAGAATATCAAAGTAAAAAAAATGTTAAAACTACAATTATGCAAACTAAGTGACATCAAGCTAAATCCAGCTTTCTTACCATTAGTGACTGGATGGGAGGAACAAGTCCATTCATGAGGGGACTGTTATTATTGTTTTTTAAATAATTTTAAATTTCATGATATATATTTATACTCTCTCATTACTTATATGGACTTAATCACCCATGTCTAAATTACCCTAAAGTACTTGACATAAAATATTTATACATTATTACTAAAAAGATGCTCTCTAAAAATCTGAAGTTAGCCCTCACCTAGGTCTTGATTTGCAAGTCACCGTAAGTGATAAAGCCAATTCAGACAAACATTCCCCAGGGCCTGACTACAAAGAATTCATGAACTCAGCTGAAAGCTGATTTGATGACATCTAAAACCCTTCTGTGCTGATAATGATCTGGGTTCCTTGATAGCTATCATTTATCATAGCCATTAAACCTTTCCAAAATATAGTAAAACTTAGTAAATCCAACAAAAGCATGCAGGCCATCATATCAAAGGAGGGCAGAGGTAAGGGGAAAAAATGAGAATCAAGACTTGTCATGTAGAGGTACAAGATCCCAACAATGAATGTAACTGTACTGTATCCCTAAAATGTACCAATAAACTCAATTAAAGCTGAAAAAAAAAAAACAAAAAAAAAACATGGCTTTTAACATATCTATTATTTGAAAGATTAAGATCTCTGTTAATGCTATGACTTTAAATTTCAGACAAATCTGACTTGGACTTCTTATTACTCTAAATTAAGAGTAAAAAGGTCAGAATTATGTATTTAATTATAGTGACTAGTAAGCACATTAAGGATTATCAAATCAAACTTTTTAGTCAACTTTCATGATAATTATTAATTTTTTTAAATATACGTTTTATTTCTAGGGAACAAAAATGTTGCCCGGCATGGTGGTGCACACCTGTTATCCCAGCACTCAGAAGGCTGAGGCAGGAGGATTGCCTAGAGTCTGAGGCCAGCCTGGGCTCCATAGTGAATTCAAAGCCAGCCTGAACTACATAGTGAGACTCTTGTCTCTAAAAACAAAATAAAACAAAAAAAGTTGTAAAATAAGAGATTTCAATGAGCAGTACAACAGAATTTTGTAATCCCAAAGCTCATATAAAAGGCTAACAGAAGTATTTAACTTTTATGTATAAAATTGCCATAGAGGCTTAGAAGTAAAAATAATGTTTAAAATATTTTAAAATTTACCATCTAAAACATTATATCATGAAGACATAAACTTATATTAATTTACATCTTCAAGTTACTTAGCTATTAAGAGTGTGCTTTTATAATATAATGAAGATTAAGTAACAGTATTAACATTCTATAATTCCTCACAAAGGACAATTCCTCATAAAAGTTGTCAACTCTTAGCATGGCTTAACTTTAGAGTCACAGTGGAACAATGTAGAAAGCAGCTTACATAATGCCACAGCACTGAGGATGAGATGAAATTGGGACCTATAAAAGATGTTTGTCACTTACTTTAGTTTCAAGTTCAAGAAGATCTGAATGGCCCATAGCTGGCTCTGTAACCACTTTTTGCAAAAAATGCAATTCATTTTTCTTGTTCTCTAATTCCTTAGAAAGTTTTTCAGCTCCTATATATGAATTAAACTTTATCTCTTCCTCCAGCCTCTTCATTAAACCTTTAAAAATAAAATAAATGAATATTCAGCCCCAAAGAGGAGGTACATTATGTACACTGTTTTAAATCTAAGACCTAAAAAGTAGGGCATCTGTATTGCTAACATTCTGTACAATATCCAGTACGATGAGAGATTGGTCATTGAAATCTTTTGATATTAAGATAGTCATGAAGCACAATTTGCATAAATATTTAAATGATTATACAAAAACTGGTATGGTCTTTCCACCTTTACAACCTAATTCTTTTTTTTTTTTTTTTTTTTTTCCCGGTACCAGGGATAGAACTCAGGACATTGTACAGGTGCCTGCACCACTGAGCTAAATCCCCAGCCCTCAACCTACTTCTTTAATATCCCATAATATACAAAAATAACATTTGCAGAACCAGATATACTGCTGGGTCATATTTTGCCATTTATTTATTTATTTATTTATCTGTTTGGTTCTGGGGATCGAACTCTGGTACTTGTGCTTGCAAAGTGGGCAGTGGAACCACTGAGCTAAATCCCCAGCCCATTGTCTTTGTTTTTCTACAAGAGGGTAATTTCTTTGGAAATACTTCTAATACTGTTTTTTTTTTTTTTTTTTTTTTTTTTTTTTTTTTTTTGAGACACGGTCACCCTATGTAGTTCAGGCTGGCCTTGAACTCACTATGTAGCCCAGGCTGGCCTTAAATTCATAGTGATCCTCTTGCCTCAGCTTCTCAAGCACTGGGATTATAGGTACACACCATCATGCTTCTTCAACAGTAATACATTATAATTTCTTAGCTTCAAGCCAATGAAGACATTATTAAACGTACAAGAAGTTAAAATCTAAAGAAGAAATAAGTTATAGTCATAAATGTTTTAGGTTTATTAGCTTTTATTTTTTAAAGTACAGTATCAGTTTACAGTTAAGTGGCAAGTTATTTTTTTTAAGACTTAATGGTTTTCTTATTTTGGCAGATGCACAGCTGCACACATAAGAGATTTTCAGTGAATAATGGTTTTGTTACAAATTCCCAGCTTAGAGAGCTTTATAAAGTTTATTTCAGGTCTTTCCATTACACATGACAAATTCTAGTTTGACTTTTTAAAATGCTGGGTTTCCGGTTTAAGTAATCTATGTACATAGACTGCAAAATAAACCTGGCCCAAAGCCTTAAAATTATTTTTAGTTCTGTTGTGTTAACAGAACATGTAAAAATTTATTAATCGGAAATTTGCAAGTTTTCCGTTCATTCCTTGAATGTCTCCTCTCTTTTTCTAGGTTTGGAGAGGGGAAGCAAAGGAAAGTGTTTAATAAATCACACTATAATTATGCAATCATTTCTAGGTGCTTTCTGATTACATATACATTCTGGCTTCTTTGGCAATTAGATGATTAGCTTTTTTGTCTTCAGGTTCTTAAACATATCTCATGTAATCAGAGATTCATGGAATCTAAACCTAAAATGTTTTGCTAAATGTAAAATTCTTTTTTTTTTTTTTTT